CCCCCCCAAAAAAAAGTCAAGAGATGCCCCTCCCCAACACGGCCTTACCTTGGCCACGAAGTTGAGCACGTCCTTCTTGGACGTTTCCTTTTCTGCCCGTGGCCCCCACTGGTATTTGAACTCGGGGGGATCCGTCAGGGGGATGGGGGTGGTCTCCAGGTACCTGCAGAAGGTTGGGTGGTGAGCCCTTTCCCTCCGGCAGGTTTTGGGGTGCTCAAATGGCGTGTCCAGCGCCCCCCAGCCCCGTGAGGGACCCCCTGGAGCCGCGGGGTGTTGGGGGGCTGCGGGTTTTGCTCTGCGGTGTGGTATAAACAGCTCGGCCAAGGCTGGCGCCGAGGCTGCTCTGGGCACACCGGGGAAGGATGAGGGGAACCCCCCCCGCCCACTGCACCCCAAAAATCTCCCCCAACACCCCAGAACCCTCCAACTCACTTCTGCCGCACAAACTCCTCTGTCACCAGCTTGCGAACGTCCCCGAACACGCTGTGCTGCTTCCTGAGGGTGGGGCGGGTTCGGTGAGGGGTGGCACTGCCCAGCCCCGTCCCCCCAATTCCGTGTGTGCCCCCCTTCCCCCCAAAATCCTACCCTGGGTACACACGGAGCAGGTGCAGGAATTCCCACAAAGCGCCTGGAAAAGGGGGTGTCAGTGAGCGGGGTGCAAAGTGGGGTACAGGATGGGTGGGGGGGGGTTTGGGGGAGAACTCACTGTCTTTGACTGAGTTGCCCTTCATGAAGATGAAGCTGAGGATGACCAAGAGGAGCCCCATCTTCTCCTTCTCCTTGTCCCTGCGGCACACACGGGTGTGTCACCCCTGTGGGCGAGGACACGCTGAGGGGGTTTCCCCCCCCCATCCCCAAAATTACCCCCAGCAGCAGCCCCTCACCTGCACAGGTACTGGCCCTCGGCGTGGGGCAGGTTATTGATGAGGATGTAGATGTGGCGTTTAGTGTCGATCTCCACCAGCTGCAGCCCAAACACCTGTGGGAGGACAAGGGTTAATCCACGGCGTGTCTCCCCCCACCTCAAAACCCTCCCCTCCCGTGTTCCCCTCACCTCCTGCAGGGTCCTGCCCGCTTTGTTGACGATTTCCGAGTAGGCATCCTTGTATTCCCGGATTATATTCTTCAGCATATCTAAAGAAAACAGAGAGCCTGGAGCTCTGAGCTCTCCACGGCCAGCAAGGCTTTAGGGGTCTAAAAAACGTGCAAAGAGGCTCCCCTAAACGTACCTGCCCTCTTGATAGGAATCTTCTTTTGGTCCTTCACAAGCAGGAACTGAACCAGCTCACTCACCTGTGGGGGAATGAGCAGGGAAGGCCAAGAGCAGGCTGATGACAGAAAAATGCAGACACAGAACTCCAGGAGCGGGTACAGAGGGTTTCACAGCAATCCACCTTCTGGTTCACCTGGTCCTGAGAGCGACGCTCCACCTGGGTCGGGATTGTATCATCCTCCCCATCGGTCATCTGAGTGGAAAGGAGAAACGGGGGAAGTTGATGCTAGACAAGAGACCAAAACTGAGGAGGGGAGAATAGGAGAAGGCGGGAAGGGGAGAACAGATGAGGGGAGAACGGGGGGCAGCCTCTCACCTGAGAGGAGCCGAGCCCTCTGCTGCGCTTCCGCTGAGACATTTCTCACGCCAGTTCTGAGAGGAAAAAAAAGCACCGGGCGGGCTAAACCCACGACGAGAACACCCCTAAGGCCGTCCTCCACATCCCACCCTCAGTAGGGCCGCAGAGATCCCCGCCAAGGCCCGGCCAACGACCCCGCACAGACACGAACCGTCACCAACCGCGTTCCGCCCGCGACTGCGCAGGCCCCGCCCACACCCGCCGACCCCACCCATACAAGCCGCGCTTCCCATTGGTTCAGACCTCCATTAGCCCCGCCCACAGCTCAATCATCGCATCGCGATTGGCTGAGAGCCCGAGTTCGCCCCGCCCCCCGGCGCCCGCCGGGCGAGTCTCGCGCTCCACCCTCCCCCCCCCGCCCCTTCCTCCCCTCAGGGAGGCGAAAAAAGCGGGAAAAGAGCGGCACGCGCGCCCCTCCCCCCTTCCCCTCACGGCGGCAAAATGGCGCCAAGCGCTGCGATTCAGCCTTGGAAAAAACCCCCAAAACAAACCAAAATGACCAGCAATGACCCATTTCGCCCCTCCCTTAATCTTACTTGAAGCACCTGTGTTGTCACCACCACTAACGCGCTGCCAGGGCCCTTCCCACAGGTGGAAGAAGAGGTGGCAAAATGGCGGTGGAGGCTGAGGGGAGTTTGGTGCCCGTGGCCGGCACTGGGATAATGGAGGCACCCCAAAATCTCAGGGGAACCTTCATCCCCTGCCTGTACAGCTGAGGGTGCTCTGAGGGGTAAGGTGATGGTTTGGGGAGGCACCCTGTGCCTTTTGGGGGTGTACAAGGGGGTTTTGGGGAGCTGTGGCACCTCAGGGAGTGTGTGGTGTGTCCAAGGTGGTTTTTGGGGTGCTCTGGGGGCTCATTTAGTGTCAAAGTGGGGCATTGGGTGCTATAGGGATTGGGGAGGGTGTGGAGGTGGAGTGTCCTCAATAATAATGCTGAGCACTCCCCTTGAACTAAATACCCTCAAATGTGGGGTTCTTACATCCCCACTCACCCCACAGCTGTAGGAAAGGTTTGAGACCCCCCCAAAAACCCCCACAGGGACATGGGGGTCCCCCAAAAGCCTCCACGTTTCAACCTCCTACTTGAGAGATTCCCCCAAACCACACCTAGAGCACCCCTGTTCCCTTAGTTCTTTCATTTCTAAAAACCAATTTAACCATTTCTCACTTAAATATAGTATTTTTATTTAATTTGTAGGTGCCTCAGAACTGCATGGCTGCCTCCAACGTCTCTGACAGCTTCGTGGCGATTTTCTCTGTGGGATGGGAACGATCAGGAATTTAATGGGAGGTGTTCAGGGAGGTTTTGGGGGGGGTGTTGAGGAAAAGGGGGTGTCTTCACTCACGTGCTCTTTTTTGCAGCTTTTTCCTCCTTTTTCCAGCTGCCTGCAACCCTTGGCCTTGGAACAGAGGTGGGAGTGCAGCAACCTCCTCCAGATTGGGGGCTCTGGGCACTGAATCCCCCCCAGTGCCCCCCGATTTCACCCGGGGCTTGAGCTCCACTGTCATCGTGCCGAGCTGGAGGGGTCAAATATTCACCCAGTGCCCCCCTAAAAAAAAAAAAAAAACCCACCCCACCCCACCTCAGGAAATCCCTTCCCACCTCTGGGTCACCGCTGTCGTCCTCCATGGCTTCTCCTTCCTCTTCCTCCTCAGGATTGCCCGGGGACAGCCCGAGCCCTGTCACCGTCACTGGGACAGCTGTGTGGGAGTGGGCCAGGTGAGTTTTGGGTGGGGGGTCCCCAAGAGGTGAAAGGAGCAGGGGAGGGGGGGGGGTGTCAGGTATTGCTCACCTGCCAGGGCCTCGGCATCGCCCCGTTCCAGAGCCTCCAGGTCCAGTGCTGGCCCCAGTGCTGGCAGGATTTGGGCCTCGAGCTGCACCCCTTGGGATTTGGGGGGGTGGGTGTAGTATGAGATCTTCCCGCTGTGGGGAAAATTGGGGGTCAGGGTGTGGGGAGACCCCTCTTGTCCCCCAAAATGGTGGTGAGGGTGTGGGGAGGCCCATCCTGTCCCCAAAAAATGGAGTTCAGGGTGTGGGGAGACTCCTCTTGTCCCCAAAAATGGTGGTGAGGGTGTGGGGAGACCCATCCTGTCCCCAAAAAATGGAGTTCAGGGTGTGGGGAGACCCATCCTGTCCCCAAAAAATGGAGTTCAGGGTGTGGGGAGACCCCTCTTGTCCCCAAAAAATGGAGTTCAGGGTATGGGGAGACCCCTCCTACCCCCCAAAAATGGTCGTCGGGGTGTGGGGGGACCCCACAGCCCTTCCCAAGTGGGGTGACAGGGTGGAAAGACCCCTCCAGTACCCAAAAATGGGATCAGGGTGTATGGGGACCCTCCCAAGCCCCCCAAAATGGGATTAGATGGTGTGGAAAGACCCCTCCTGTCCCCAAAAATGGGATCAGGGTGTGTGGGCACCCTCCTCAGCCCCCCAAAATGGGGTTAGGTGGTGTGGAAAGACCCCTCCTGTCCCCAAAAAATGGGATCAGGGTGTGTAGAGACCCTCCTCAGCCCCCCAAAATGGGATTAAATGATGTGGAAAGAACCCTCCTGTCCCCCAAAAATGGGATCAGGGTGTATGGGGACCCTGTAGACTCCCCAAAAATGGGGTTAGATGGTGTGGAAAGACCCCTCCTGTCCCCAAAAAAGGGATCAGGGTGTATGAGGACCCTCCCAAGTCCCCCAAAATGAGATTAGATGGTGTGGAAAGACCCCTCCTGTCCCCAGAAAAGGGATCAGGGTGTATGGGCACCCTCCTCAGCCCCCCAAAAAAGGGGGTGAAGACCCCACCACCCACCCAAAAAAGGGGGTCAGGGTGAGGAAACCCCTCCCTACCACCCCAGAAAGGGGGGGTCAGGGTGTAGGGACACCCCCCACAAACTCCCCGCTGCCTCCCCCACCTGGTCCAGTCTCGCAGCAGGGCCGTGGCGGCCGCGTTGGCGTCCGGCAGCCCCCCAGGCCGGAGCCGGCCCTGCCTCCGGGCCAGGTGGGCCAGGAACTGCAGGGGGTCAGAGCAAGGGGGGACCCCGTAGAGATCGCTGAGCTGTTGGGGGAGGGAGGGATTGTCACTTTGTCACCTTCTCTGCGACCAAAAAACGTGTGGGCACGCGCATTTAGAGGGTTTTAGGGAATTACAGCTTGGAAATCTTTTCCAGGCCTGGATTTCTCCTGACTCTCAGCTCCATTCCCAGGCTGACTGCAGCTTCAGTTAGGGAGGAAATCTCCCAGGGTGATAAACAGAATAAATAAAAATTAACTCCTGGTGTCTTTCCCGTGGGACACATCCTGAGGATACATCCCAAGGATGTTTTTCCCAATTTTCCAACGAGCTCCTGTCCTGTCCTAGCTTCACTAACACACTTTAAACACGGGTTTTCCGTACAATAAAATTGTCTTTTTTTTTTTCCTTTTTTTGCCCCCAAAAGGTCCCTGTGTGTTGCTTTCCTTTCTCTCTCTTTGCAGCGCAGTGACCACAAAAATTCCCAAATTGGGGGAGGGTCCCCCCGAAATGATCTCCCCTCCTCACTGTCACAGGCACCAGGTGTGCACTCCCAATGTTGAGCCCCCCACCCCCCAAAAAAAAAAAAAAAAAAATCCCAATTTTGGGGGTCACCGAGTCCACCGAAGTGCTGAGCACCCCCTAAATTTATCACCCACCCTCCCCGTTGGTCCCCCAGGTAGCCCCACGCACCTGCTGGGGGGGGCAGCGGCGCAGGATGGCACAGGCGGGGGTCAGGGGGTCCCGCAGGCGCTGTGGGGCCAGGGCCCCCCTCAGGGGGGCGGCGGCAGGGGGGTCCCCCGAGTCCAGCACCACGCCAGGACAGTCCAGGAGCCGGATGTGCCGGTCCAGCTGCACGGCCTGAAGGCACCTGGGGGTGGTGGGGTGTGACTGTCACACCCAGCCGCACACCTGGGCAAGGTGTGACTGTCACACCCCGCCGCACACCTGGGCAAGGTGTGAGCCACGCCCACCCACACACCTGGGCAGGGTGTGAGCCACTCCCAGCCGCACACCTGGGCAGGGTGTGACTGNGCCGCACACCTGGGCAAGGTGTGACTGTCACACCCCGCCGCACACCTGGGCAAGGTGTGAGCCACGCCCACCCACACACCTGGGCAGGGTGTGAGCCACTCCCAGCCGCACACCTGGGCAGGGTGTGACTGTCACACCCAGCCGCACACCTGGGCAAGGTGTGAGCCACTCCCAGCCGCACACCTGGGCAGGGTGTGAGCCACAGCCATCCACACACCTGGGCAAGGTGTGAGCCACTCCCAGCCACACACCTGGGCAAGGTCTATGTGCCACACCCATCCACACACCTGGGCACGGTGTGTGCCACACCCAGCCACACACCTGGGTAGGATCTGTGTGCCACAGCCAGCCACACACCTGCGCAAGGTGTGCGCCACACCCACACACCTGGGCAAGGTGAACCCAGGCTCCTCCCACATCCCCCTCCCCCCAGGCCAGGTGACCCCTCCCTGGGCGGGGCTCACCTGGTGACCCCGGGCATGGCCCCCACCCCGCAGGCTCGGCTGCGCTTGAGGCTGTTGATGAGGCTGCTCTTGCCCACGTTGGGGTACCCTGGGGAAGGGACCCCAAAACACAGCCCCCCACTTAGCCCCCCACTCACCCCCAGCCCCCCATGTCCCCCCAAACCTCCCCTCGCACCCCAGCCCTCCCTTTCACAGCCCCCCAGCCTCACTCACCCATCACCCCCCCCCTATTTCCAAGCCCCCCACTCCACCCCAGCCCCCCAAACTAACCCCATACCCCCTCAGCCTCACTCACCCACCACCCCAGCCCAGCCCCCTCCCCATTTCGCAGCCCCCTCACCCACGACCCCCACGGTGATGGAGGTCTTGGCCCCCCCGCAGCGCCCGTAGTTGCTCAGGATGTGCAGGAGGCTCTCGGCCCCCACGCAGGCCCCCCCTGCCAGCACCTCCTCGGGGGCTGTGGCCGCTGGCACCCGGCTCTGCTTCTGTGGGGGGCACGGGGGAGGGTCAGGGGGACCCTCTCACCTGAGCCCCCCGCCTCCCCGAGGCCCCCCCAGCACCCACCAGATTTCGGCTCTGCTGCTGCGTGCACGCCTTGAAGGCCACGGTGGGGAACTCGGCCCGGAGGTGCTTCAGCCACGCGGCCACCACGTCCCGTGGCACCAGGTCTGGGGTGGCGGGGGGACAGACAGGGGTGGCCCCAAGGCTGTGGGGACAGGGGACCCTCCCCTAAATCCATGCTGGGACCCCCCTCCCCAGATCCAAGCCCCTCTCACCGATCTTGTTGAGGACGAGCACAAGGCGCTGGTGGGGCCGCAGGGCCCCCTCCAGCCGGGGGCTGCGGCAGCCCTGGGGGTCGCGGGCGTCCAGCACCTCCAGGACCACGTCAGACGCCGTCAGCACCTGCCAGAATCGGGGTTCAGGTGTGGGAAAAGACCCCCCAAAAATCCCCCCAATCCCCCCCCAGCACTGACCTTGCGCAGCTCCCGCCCGAACTGTCGCAGTGACGCCTCGTCCTGGGGGGGCTGGGGGGGCTCCTCCTCCTCTTCCTTCTCCTGGGGGTACCTGTGTTACAGGGACCCCCCCCATCCATGGGGGGACACCCCCGATTTCTGGGGGGAATCCCCTCCTGTCCTCTGGGGAGCCCTTTGTCCTAGAGGAGCCCCCTACTCTTTAGGGAGACCCCCCCCCCCCAAGGTGTTCCCAGCCTCACCTGGCTCTGGAAGTTTTGCTGTCGCCGCAGAGCATCCGCCAGGTGCACGCCCAGGTGTGAGCTCTGCTGCACCTCCAGCGCCTGTGGGACGTGGAGGGCTCAGAACCCCAAACCCCCGCTGTGGTCGGAGTGGGAGGGATGAACCCAAACGGCGCCCCCCGAGTTTATCCTTGAGGGGGGGACCCCAAACAGCCCCCCGGGAGGAACACTCCAAAATCCTCCTGCACTCAGATTTGGCTGAGACACCCCAAAATACCTCGGGGAAACCCCAGAATCCCTCCCGGGGTTGCATCTGGAGGACACTCCAGAATTTCCACTCCGGGGTTACCTGGGACACCCCCAAAACTGCCCTCCCCCCCCCCGCACCGTGGTTCTTTACCCGTTTTTGCCGAGTTTTGCTCTGTTGCTGCACGAAGGCGGCGAAGCGGCCGAGCTGCGGCACCCCCGGGTCCTTTTTGATCCCGACTCGCGCTCGCCGGGCCTGGGGACAACGCGGGGGTGTCACCCATGGGGGCGTCACCCACAGGGGGCAAAGGGCTGCACCCCAAAACCCGCCCGGTTCCCCTTCTCGGTTCATTCCCTCCCCCGGGCCGGGCTGGGGCTCACCTGGACGCGCTTCTTCCGGGACGCCTCCACCTGTCGTCCTGTAGGGAGGGGCCTGGTGAGTTCGGGGACCGGGGAGGGGGGAAGGGGGGGTCCCCAGAACCCCTCGCTCCCCTCCCGGTGCCTCCCTGAACTCACGGGACCGGGTCATGGCTGCGGTTCCCACGCTGCCGGCAATCCCTGGCGCCGCGTAGTGACGTCACTTCCGGCGCGACGGGAAACTGCGCGACCGCGCAGTCCCTCCCTCGCCGCACCCAACATGGCGACCAAAGCAGCACTCAAGATGGCGCCCGAGGAGCCAATACCACACCCAAGATGGCGGCCTTAATCTGGCGACATCGCGATGCCACAACCAAGATGGCGTCACCCCCGTGTGGCCAGCGCGCCACACCCGACATGGCGGCGACAGCGCCACGGCCACGCTCAATATGGCGGACAACTTCACACCTCCC